ATTTTAGAGATACAGAGAGACTACCCACCCGTCCACTACCCCTCCTCCTTCTTATCATGTTCTCAATGATCATGATGATGTCCCATTTATATAAAATGTTAATATTTTTGGTATTGGGCATTTTAATTACCATTATTACCCATGGCAGTATTTACAACAACAACAAAAAAAATCTGAAAAAAATAGGCCTGATAATTTATTTCATTTCTTTGTTTTCTCGTGAACTATGCATTGTTTAAATTAAAAAAAGATAAACCAATAAATAAAAAGAAGCAGTAATATTCTATCTATGGATTCACTTCTTAAAAATTCTGTGCAGACGGATGCATTATATTCCTAGAATTACCCAATACCAACCAAAGAAAAAAAAAACGGCGACAAGATTATGAGGATACTGGAATTTCCACATGATGTTTGTAAACAAAATTATGACGAAGACCTGCTCTATTTTTGTAAGTAGATCTAGAATTATTGAATTTGTTATTTATTTCATTTAAAGCATGTTAATACATGGCTCATAGATTCCTTTTTTTTTTTGAAGTCTAAAGATCTAGATCATCCTGATCATTGCTGATTCCTCGTTAACTGATGAAACAATCTTATGAATTTCTGTCACTGTAAAGTGTTTGCAGAGCTAGCAGTCGATGGGGTTATTCAGTAGAACATTATACAAGTTAACAAAGTAAATAATCGTCAGAAAATTATACACATCGGAATATTATTCTTTCGTTCGAATTTCCTCAATGACAACGTTGTAGGCTAGTATTCGTTCGTTCGAATATTCTCAATGTGTACACTAGCTGATGATTGTACTTAAAAAATTATACTGTCTTGTCTAAATTTGTCTGTAATTTGCAAGTTACAATTTATAAGTATCTTGATCACAGTCATCAGCATTACTGATTAGAAAATTAATTATCTTCTCTCAGACATGGTTAAAAGTATCCTACTACTGTAGTGTACTACGGATTAACAAACATTGCATGTGTTGCAAGTACTATTTTTTTTTTTTTTTGGTGTCAAGATAAATTTTGAGATACGGGGGGTCAGTGCTTATAGTACATGTCATGATGGACATAATTAATAACCCCCAAAACTCCTACTTATATTGTTTGGAAGTATCCAAATATCAAATTACTAATTCTCTGTTAGAAAATTGGTTGATCCTCTGAAGTTTACATAGGACATGTACCCACATGATTATTGATATAATCAATGTTTGTTTTTTTTTTAATCTCTGAAAAACAGTCTTAAAACTTTGAGTGAAAAATCAATCTTTATACTGCTAAACTCATTTTTTATACCATGAATACATACAAAATGTACTTAGGAATATCATTATTAAGTTATGTTCATGTTCTTTTGAGGGGAAAAAATATACATCATGTAGATGCTTATGTGTAAGTAAATTATAAAAGACAAAAATGCTAGGACTTTTTTATTTTACATATTTATTTGTAAAAATATTTTTTCTATTAATTGGAAATGAAATAAAAAAAAGTTCTAGCTTTATTACTAATAATATGATTTTTTATTAGAATTGATAGGATATTGGATGTTTAAGAAATAAAGACCACATTCTCGTGAATGTTGCAGGATAACCTGCAATGTTAATGTAGACATAGATTTAAATTACACAAGGACTCCCATGCCAATTTCAATAGTCCTCGCCCACTGAAGTCAAACACAAAGGTAGTCGCACGAGATTTACATGCATATTTAGCCTCCTTAGCGTCAGACACAGAGACAGGTGCGCACGAGATTTTCATGCATATTAGGCCTTCTTAGCTCCTGACCTATCGACCTGCCTAATTAACATTCCGATAGAATTATCAAGAAATCAATTCCGCTAACTTTCAAAGAGTTACCACAGAGAAAAAAAAAAAAACAGACATGGAAATATTATGGCATGACATCATGAAAAATTCTCAAGGGCATAAAACTACTATAATACAGATACTGGTAAATGTATGCAGAACATGCACAAAGTTTCATTTATGGTATATTGATAAATAAAAATAATTTATACTTTTATACTTCGACCTCAGTAGGGGTAAATTTTAGTGTCAGTCATTTTGGCTGGATCGAGAAATTTGAGTGATCCATATTCAATTCATTTTCTAATTTTAGTGAAAAATTTAATCCATGCTTTGTTATTATACATGTAATTGGTATTGTATGATTTATTCTATTTTTTTTCTTTAACAGAAAATGAAGGTATAGTAGCTGATATATAGTGTACATGTACCACTTGAAGATTTGTCCCCCTTGTAAATACAAGAAATGCAAAGGTAATTCTTTGTGAAAATAGAGAGAATGAATAATAAAGTTTTTCAAACCATACAACAAAAACTACTTTGAATAATTAGTACGCAACCAACCATTTACAATTTCATTTTGCAGTTTTATTTCTTTAACATTGAAAAAAAATCAAATTTGATATTTTTTTTAGCTCTACTGGTCAGAGACCAGAAGAGCTTATGGGATAGGAAGGTGTCCCTCGTCCATCTGTCTAGCTGTCCGTCTGTCTGTCTGTCCATGGCGTCTAGTTGTCTGTCTGTCTAGCTGTCCATATGTCTGTAATTTTTCAAAACACTACTCCTCCTACAGTTTTATTCTGATTTCAATATAACTTAGACTGCACTAAGGTACATTTCAATGAACGGTGCTGCCATGGTTACTAAAAATAGAAATTTCTGTAAAATTCCTTTAAAACGCTACTCCACCTACAATTTTGGTATGATTTCAATATAATGTGGCACGCAAGTAGACTACACTTAGATACATAATTCTATTTATTGCTGTCTGTTGCAAAGTTTCAAATCCAAGTGTTACTTTTTCTTTGTTATACATATAGACCAGTAGAGCTACAGTCTCATCAGAGACTTCTGGTTTATCCTTTTCATCACACAGCGACTTTCTTTTTTTTCAGTGTACACAGATACATACACATACAAGGAGACATCACCTCATGATCTGTGGATCCATTGAAAACTTTAAGGACAAAACTTTTGATAATTCATTCATGTATAGAGTGTTGACTCGAATATTGAATATCTAATGAATGGAACCAAGAGAATTAATTTAAGAAGTATTATATTGTATATTACTCTTTTTATTCATCTGTCAAATTTCTTAATTAAAAATTAAACTTAAAGGCTTAGATAAGGATTTTTTTTTTCATTATTTTAATTAGAACAAGTTCTTTAATTTATTTTTCTCTTATATAAACGGGCATTTAAGGTCATACGCAACGTAGTTTGCACTTTATTGGGTTCTTCCCTGGAGTTGAAGAGTTCCACTAAATGAAGGACCTGTGTGCAATATTTTTATTGTCTATATATGGATTTGTAAATCTCTTCTAAAACAATTTTGATAAAAAAAAATCTGGAATTTATGTTTTGTAATTTTTGTACATTTTTCTTTGAATAATGCAAAATTGTTCAAACTTTAATATCTTTTCAAAATCCCTGGAAATGCATGCTGATTTTTTGTTTAAAAATATGTTATATGGTACATGTATTATAAGTTTAAATTTAGAATATCTTGAAAAATTATCAGTAGGCAAGGTATCTTGCGTATGTCCTTAAATGTAAAATGAAGGTATGTGTACCTTTATTCAATGAACTAGGGAACTCATGAAGTGTGCATATTTATATAATAGTGTTGTATTTTGCATGCACTATTCTTAAAAAGTAGTCAGGGTTTGACACATGGTGCACAAGCCGGAGGCTTTAGGTATAATGTACAGATAGTTTTAGAGAATAGTAGTTGAGTGATGGAGGCAATTGCAAGAAACTATTTTAGAAGAATTATTTTGTTTATTTTTCATCTTAAGTGTTAGCTGCAGAACTGTAGCTCTCTGAAAAAATATATATTGACAGACGGGAGAGCTACAGTGCCACCCATAGAAAAAACTGTATATTTATTGTGCACTTTTTGTGCGCTGTTTCTCGATTTATTTCTCAGTGTTTTTAAAACTGTCATCTCAAAATATTACTAAACGTGTGTTTCTAACATATTCTTTCACTGTTTCCACAATAAAACATTCCTTATAATTGTTTTTAACAGCCCTCCTGGCCCTGAAATTGAAATCATTGAAAATTTTGCCTATTTATACTGCCATTTTGGTCTTCACGAGAATTCTGTCCAACGCACTTAGTACAAGTGTATACACTGTACTACGAAAGTTATAGAGGAGTAAGGACTTTTTTGAAATGTAGCTTTTTTTTCAATTGAGGTAAGAATTTCGAAGAATTAATTCAGAACTGAGCGCACTTTTTTGTGCGCAATAAATATACAGTTTTTTCAATGGGTGGCACTGTAGACTCTTATTGAACATCATAAGATGTTTCGGATCATAATTTATTATCAGAAAGAGCAAAGCCATGCAATTAGTTATCCGAAGAAACCGAAAACTTAGAGTTATGAAAATTAATAATTATTTCATTTTTTTATCCACAGGCATTTGTGATCGAGAATGGAGAAATATAATTTTCAATTTTAGATGTTTATTCTTTTGAAAAATTGAGTTATCGCATTGAAGAGTTATTCACTTCAAAATTATACTCAATAATTAAAACTCTTTCGCTCTCGTTCAAACCCCTCCCCTTTTTCCTATGAATCAAGTGTGATGATGCCCACAGGGCCCTGCAATGTACAGGAAGAAGAAGAAAATTTACCATCAAAAGTATGATCTTTATAGTCATAATTATGCATTTTGATTCCAATATACTGCTCGATAATATTATTAATCTGAATCTTGTGAGATTTTTGTACTTCGTACACCTTGTCCAAACCGCTTGCTCGAATTTGGGATTTTCTCCCATTAAACAAATACAGTGCTGGTATCAATAGTGTCTTATGTAAATTAATGCTGGCCGTTCCACAGAATGCAGTACACGATTTATATCTCGCAGAGTCCACCATATCTCTCCTTAACAAGACAAGAAAGATAACTCTAAAAATCTATAACGTAGCCTACTATATATATATATGCTATGCTTAGTCGGCAAATCACGTCAACTAAAACTTTAAATATTTGCGTCGAATGTAGAAATCGGATTATTCGGTACCTTAAAGGGAGGAGCATTTCACAAAAATGCACTTCAGGTATGTAACAAATCATTTTTTAACGATACGCATTTCTATTCGCTTTGTAAACTTACAATGACTTATGGAAACCAATTCGAACAAAAATTATTCGACTGTGAACCGTTTGTTTTTAGAAAATACGTCAAAAAGGACTGGGCCACTAAGCGGGTACAGAATACTGGATATGTCAAGGTAGGTTTCTTCTCCTTTTTTATCAATTGTACCCTTTATAATTAAAATACTCTAGGAATAAGGAGAAAGACTTTTAAAAATGTTTGTAATTTGTAGGGTGCTTGCCGGACCTTATTGCACAATGATCCTCGGTGATTTGGGAGCAGAAGTCATTAAAATAGAGCGGCCAGGTACAACTCTGACATAAATAAAAAATCAAAATACAACGTATTCTTCATGTTCATATATACATTATTTTTATCCTAATTATATTGCTCTCCAGGATCAGGGGACGATACTCGGTCGTGGGGCCCGCCATTTAAAGGTTCGGAGTCTGTGTATTTCCTCACAGTCAACAGAAACAAAAAGGTAGCCTGAGTGTGGAATTTAATTATAGAAATGTCTGTATGTAGAATTTTTCAAGCAAATTACATGACCCGGGAAAAAAATCGAGTAATTATGAAAATACTTGTATTCTTTATTTTTTTTTTAATTAAAAGACGTGAAAATAATATTATATTCATAGGAATATGCTATAATTACTTTCATATTAGAATTTAGCAAATGTCACAGCAGTATGATGTATCAGAATGAATACTGTATTTTATTTTTTACTGCTAGAAATGAAGCAAAAAAATATGCTTTAAGTTTTAACAATTTTATCAAAATCGTATCATCTGATCCGCTCTTGGGTCGCTATTCAAGAGGAGCGATTTATCTGAGCGAAACAAAGGATATGGTTTTAATGAGACTGGTGTATTTTACAGAGTGTTGGCGTTGATATAAAATCTAAGAAAGGTCAGGACATTATCAGAAAGGTCAGTTTTTTAACATTGTTTTTTTCTATCGGACATATAAAAAAATTAATTCAAAAAGATTTGATTATTTTTATATCACACCTTGCAATTTCCATGTATGACATGACATGCAATAAAAGGTCATTTAATGCTTTACAGTCACATTATAACTGTGTTTGAAAGTTATTTTCAAATAGACTATAAGTTTGTTTTTGAATGTCACGTTTGCACTATTTTTATTTTATTTATTTATATTTTTTTTTGTAAATGCAATTTGTTGGTAAGGGCTTTAGGGGAAAGGAAAAGAACTGTCAAATGGTGGATATTGACCATTTCAAAATCATTTGCTATACCTTTAAAAATTGGTTCACATATATATATATATATATATATATATATATATATATATATATATATATATATATATATATGTATATATATATATATATATATATATATATATATATATATATATAAATCTATACTCCAAAAAAAGTCTAACATTTCTAATGTTTTGCCGAGCGGTCATAAAAAAATCGATGTTTGACCGCGAAGTGAGATATTGGACCTGTCGATGAGATGTTGGACTGCTTACGTCACACTGTGGGCGGGATCAGCTAAATATCATTTGCATTCGGTCGTTGGTGTTCGACAGTGACGGAGTTGACCGAGGTTAATTCGGTGCGGGTAAAGGAAGTTCACGTTTGGAAACCAGCACGAGATTCATGGATATAATAAAACAAAAATAACTTTAAAGGTATAACAAAATATTTATTGACCGTATTCTCGGGCAAAATGCGTTTGCCTCAGGCAAACAGCTTCAATTGGTTCTTAAGTCCGACAAATACATGTACATGTTGCCCTCGAACCCAGTAAATAAATGTATAATATTTTTCTTATCAATATACAGTGAATACATTAATTTCAACACTTTTTTGTACATGTAAATCCTTACCCATTATTATATTTTATAAGCTCGCCACTAAGTGTGATGTTTTGGTAGAGAACTACATACCTGGAAAGCTGGAAAAATATGGTCTGGGATATCACCAGCTTAAGAATGAGGCGCCTCATCTTATTTATTGCTCCATATCAGGTATCCACATTCTAATTCCAATATTCTCGAATCCCTAAAAATAAAAAAAAAGTTCCTTTAATGTAACATCTATTCAAAACACAAGACTGTTGAAACACGGTGCAACAAGATCTTACCTTCTTAAAATATTTAGATATGCCAAAATCATATGCATTGATTTGTCATTAATGTTAGGTTATGGGCAAACTGGACCATACGCTAAAAGAGCAGGATATGATGTCATAGTATCTGGAGTGGCAGGGTTGATGTACATCACTGGTCCCAAGGTGAAAATACTAATTTCATTTTTAAACCATCAGTTTCTAGAGTAGTCTTTACTACTAATATATCGCTCGTAATTACAATAATTATAACGTCTTCAGAATTTGTTGTCCTAGCGCAAATTGCAGACTTTCAAAATATTGCTGTTGCATCTGTAGTTTTCTTACTCGTTCTTCTCATTTTTCTTTTAGGATGGAGAACCATGTAAAGTAGGTGTTGCTATGACAGACTTATCTACAGGATTATACGCTCATGGCGCCATCATGGCCGCCATCTTACAGCGGCAGAAGACAGGTCAAGGTCAACATATAGACTGCGATTTATTTTCTACTCAGGTTTGTGCCTTGAATTTTGTTTTCAAGAAGCCAAATAGTGTAAAATCTCGAAGCAAATGTTATGGAGTTAGAACTCGAGACAGAAAATATGCAAAGTCATGTACAACCGCTGTTAGCTATTATAATACCCATATTATGGTGGTAAACCAGTCAGGTTAGTTTACAAAGTCAAAGCAATGAAAAAATGTTGTTTTTTTTAAGCATTTTAAATGAGCATTTCTTTACATTTATTGATGTCTTAAATCACTCAATTTTTGCTTAAAAATTAAAAAAAAGAATAATTTATCTGTGCAAGAACTTAATATTCAGTTCATTTATTTTTGCAGCTGATGATCAGATACATCATATATATCATATTATATTTTACAATTTAAAAAAAAGAAATTCTGTTTGCACAGGAGTAAAATGCTAAAAGAGTATGTTTTACAGATTGTTTTTACATTCTTGTATCATTTAAATTAATGTGAATTTGGAGAAAAAAAAATGAATCTATTTCTGTTTTTCTTTTCTTTCAAGCAGTCAAACACAGCAATTTCAGGGGGGCTGAGGGGGGGGGGGTGGGGGGGGGTTAAGCACAATCATACATTTTCTTGGCGGGGGAAGCTATCAACTAGTGAAAAATTTCTCGACAAGCAAAAAAGAGGGGGATGATCATCAGACATTATTATTGAGGGGGCAAAAGTATAAAGTAGCTATGTTTTCTATAGTATTCTATATATCGTCAAAATTATGTGGGGGGGGGGGGGGACGGCCCTCACGTGCCCCCCTACCCCCCGGCCAAATCAATGACACATCATATCATAAAAAATGAGGTAATATTGTGTTTTGCAATCACATTAATCGGCGTTTATGGAGTAAATAACTAAGGAATGTAATTTTTTTCCTATTCAAGGTTGCTTCTTTGATCAACATAGGAGCGAATTATTTAAATGCTGGAATGGAGGCCACGAAGCACGGTACAGCTCACCCAAGCATTGTGCCTTACCAGGTTAGTAAAATGTTTCATTTAGATGTACATTTCTTTCTGTTCCTATTGCAATAATACATTGCATTTCATTTTTTTATTATTAATTTTTTAGTTCTGGAAGTTCATTTATTGTTTATTACTTTCAACTGGTTAAAAAAGATACAATGTATTAACACGTTTTTTATGAAAAATATCAAAAAATGTTTAAAGCTTACTTAAAAATGGTAAAAATTGCCTATACTTTTGTAATACAAACGACTCCACTTTAATAGGCATTCCAAACACAGGATGATTATATTTTGGTTGGAGCAGGAAACGATGGACAGTTTAAAATTCTCTGCAAGGTATAATCTTTTATCCAATGCTTGAATTGTTTGTAAAAATGTTAAAATGAAGGCCCAGCAATTGGTATGAAACACGTCAGCAAAATTACGACCCTATGATAGGTTATATTTGCTAAGAAGTTCATTAAAATGCCCATAGAATATACAAAATGCTCAATTAAGCGAGGAAATTGAAATAGCTGTAACATCAACTAATCTGTCAGTAGCCTGCCTTGGTTTGAAAATTTATCGTACTCAGAGCATGCTCTTGAGTATTGAATCAGTTGGGAGATGTAAAACCCACACGCATGTGTTAGCGGAATATTACTACATAAATAAGGAAAGTTGATGCTGAAAAAGCTGAAGTCATCTTGTTTGTCTTTTATTTTTTTGTTAGTTGGCGCTTATTGCCTATAGTCAGTAAAACATTCAAATATGAAACAGATGTGGAAGACTCTGTGGTGTCTTATTTCGAGTTCAATGGGATAAATGAGTTGGCATTCGAATGGAATTAAGTAACTGATAAAACGTCGTCGATATATCTGAATGTTGAGTTGAAGGCCACAGCAAGTGCTCTCCTCTCATGTGGACGTTTTTTTGAATGAATTTTGTCTCAGGAATATAAAAAAACTGGTCGGCAAATAAATGAGCACAATTAGTGCTCCTCGAACCCCAACAGTTTATTGGAAGATCTGGTCTTAGAGTCAGAGAGATTTTTAACAAAGTAATTTTGTTGATGACTAATCACGATACATGAAAATTCCCGAGTAACATTTTTTTTTGAAGAAACAGTTCTTTGATACCGGTCACGGTAGCATAGTGGTAGGGTGCTCGCTTCGTGAACTGGAGCCCCAGGTTCGATTCTCGTCAAATATAAGACTTAAACATAAGTAGTGACTGTTCCTTCGCCGAGCGCTCGGCACTTTGAAGTGAAAGTCACGGGTCTTTCGGATGAGACCTGAAAAACCGAGGCCCCGTGTCACGGCAGGCGTTGGCACGATAAGAACCCTCACTACTCAATGGCCCTGAGTGTCGAGTATATGTCTAAATTTGAAGCCCTTCACCGGCGTACGACGACGTCTCTATTTGAGAGAAAAATTCTCGAATGGGACGTTAAACAGCATACAATCAATCAATGATATCAAAAAGTCTAGTTTTTATCATGAGGAATGATGGTCGTATAAAGTGTAGAAAAGTCGTGTGTTTTGATGTTACCGACTTTTGAAAAATTGGGGGATTTTTTACTAAAAGTTCTTCGAAGTTTTTGAGAATCTACCTCTGATTTACACCACTTCAAGAGTATGCTGTAGTGCAGTACGTTGAAGATTCTCCTTTACAGCAGTTAATATTTTTGTGAGATGTAAAGATAGGGGCTTACAATTGGTGGAGCATATACTGGATCCGGCAATATCTTTGTTTGCAAGGAATTATATGAAGATAAGGAATCCAGTATAGGTAGGGTAGATTGAAGTCACCTTTGCTGACTGGAATGTTTAAAGTATTAAAACAGTGAAGTATGGTTTCGAAGAAAGTGAACTGTGAGTATAAGTTGAATTTCCAGACGTGCAATATAGAATTAAAATCAGTTCTTCTAAAATACAGTTATGATAATGAACCTTACAAAAAATAGCGATATTATCATAAGTCGTGTCTGTTGGAATCGAAACATATTGTTCATGTCGTCTTTCTAATTCTTTCATCGCCTCCGATTTAGTGAAAACGTAAGAATAATTGGTTCTCATATTGCCTTTTAACTTTCAAAAACGACTCTATTTCTAAAAATACTAATCCATTCTGACAAAATGTTCAAGTCCTCTTCATATTTAACACAACATTTGACATAATTTTCGACAGAGTTCATAAAAGAAATAAAGTTCTCTCGCCAATTAAAAGATCAGGGCTTGTTGTATTTAGGAACTATTTAGGATTATTACTTTTAGGTCGTCATTTTCAGCTATATAAACATCACCAGTAATGACGTGTCTAGGGGGACTGTAGTTGAAAGAAGAGGGAGAGCAAGACCACTAAAGATGATTATATTTTAATAATGCTCAATATCGTAGGCACTGTAAGGTGTGCTTGTAATGGAAAAGTTTGGTAGCAACAGTTTGGTTATATCTGTAGGATATGTAGGGTGGTGACTTCAACTTAAGCTTGAAATATGGTGAAATGCAAAACTGATTTTTTTTATTATTAAGAAAGCCAATGATATACACAGCATCTATATCCTTAGTTGGCAAATTTAAGATTAAGGAACCGACGGGTTGAATCAGAATTATGATCTTAAAGAGCCTGTGCTGGTCAACATCTATAATCACATACACTAGCTTGTATTCTATGTTGACAGATTTTAGATTTGGATTATTTACACCAAGATAATAAATTTTCTACTAACAAAGCCAGAGTGGCCAATAGGGAGGAACTGCTGGATATACTGAAAAAGAAGTAAGTTACCATGTCTATATAACTGCAAAAGAAGTAGTTATTATACCTCCGTTCCCAAAGAGAGGGGGTTTACTGTTTAACCCTTGTGTGTTTGTCTGTGTGTCCGTGTGTCCTGTGCCCTTGTGTCTGTCCGTAACAAAATTTCTTGACAGTTTTCTCAGCAACTACTCATCACAGATACTTGAAATTTTAGCACATTCTTTGTTTTGGCATGCCATATGGTGGGATTCATTTTTGTTCGAATCCGATGTCAACTTCCTGTTTACCCGTGCGTCTGTTTACCCGTGCGTCTGTCCGAACCAAATTCCTGTCACAGTTTTCTCGGCAACTTCTCAGCGCAGATACCCGGTACTTGAAATTTTAGCACAGTCTTTGTTTAGGCATGCCAAATGGTGGGATTAATTTTTGTATGAATTCGCTGTCAACATGAGAGTGTATATTCACATCACAGCGGGGTTATTACTAGTGAGCATTCGCTCATGGACTTCTTGTTTATCATTATTACTGAAAAAGAACTAAGTTAACATGTCTATTACTAACGAAGTAGTTTATCATGTCTATTATTGAAAAGAAGTTAGTTTACATGTCTTTTACTATTGTTTAAGATGTGACAAAGATCTTTTGAGTTGTACAGCATGATATTGTGTGCATCACTGGTTTATGAACTATAAACTCTCGATTTTTTTTGTATTTTTTAATGTAGAAAATTTCAATTTTGTTCAAATCTGAAATTAAAAAAAATGCACAAAACGATTTTAGATTTAATTCCAATACAACACAGTACTGGCTTAATTTGTTGGAAAATTCAGGAATTCCATACGGCCCAATCAATAACATGGCGGCTGTTTTCAACGATCCTCAGGTATCAACTAAAAATCAACTAAAAATAGATTAGAAAAAGTCACATTTCCATCAAATTGGCTTTTTTTATGGGCCAGTAAAGGGTCCTATTTTTTAAATAGCAAAACCGCATGAAGTAAAAATCTAAAACATATTGTAATTACAGACTTTACATAACAATATGATACAAGAGATACATCACCCCACAGCTGCTGATGTACGCCTTCCAGGTAGGATGTGTACTTTTTATGCCCCCGGATCGAAAGATCCCGGGGGTATATTGTTTTTTGTCATGTCTGTCTGTTTGTCTGTCTGTCTGTTGTCAACTTTAACCTTGCCCATAACTTTTGATTGGTTGGAGCTATGACTTTCATATTTCACATATTTATTCCTTGTGACAAGACCTTTCTTTGGGTACCATCATATTTGACCTTTTGACCTTGCCTTGGAGTTTGACCCACTTTTGCAAAATTTTATGAGACTTTAACCTTGGCCATAACTTCTGAACAGTTGGTGCTTGGAGTTTCAAACTTCACATGTGTATTCTTTGTGACAAGACCTTCCTCTGGATACCAACCACTTTGATCCTTTGACCTTGGCATAGGAGTTTGACCTACTTTTGAAAAACTTTAACCTTGGTCACAACTTTTGAATGGTTGGTGCTAGGACTTTCATACTTCACATATGTAATCCTTGTGACAAGATCTTCCTTTGGATACTAACCACTTTGACCTTGACCTTGACGTTTGACTTTTATTTAAAAAACTTTAACCTTCGCCATAACTTTTGAACAGTTGCAGCTAGGTCTTTCAAATTTCACAGGTATATTCCTCGAGACAAGACCTTTCTTTGGGTATCAACATTTTTTATCTTTTGGCCTGGATTTTGACTTGTATTTGAGAAACTTAAACCTTCGCCATAAGCTGCCATACGGGGGCATCAGTGTTTCACAAACACATCTTGTTTATTTATTTATTTTTATGAAAGCAGAAAGGCATTTTATTGACTTTATAAAACTTAAGATATCTTTCTCTTTAGGCATTTTATTGACTTTATAAAACTTAAGATATCTTTCTCTTTAAATATATTAAAGCTGCTTGAGAAAAACTTTGCAGTTGGTAATTCAAAAATCAATTTGGCAAATGGGGTGAAACAAATCAAAAATCACATTTGTGTTGACATATTTTAAAATAAAACCCACCCCCATTCGCATTCATTATATATTTTTAATATACATGTAGTACAACTGTATCAGATGAACTCTATTATTTCGTCAAAAGAATAATGATAATACTATAGAATCCTCAAATTAATGTACAGCGTATAGTTGATTCAATATGTTCCATTCCCCTCCCTTTTACATTTTGCGTGCTTACTTCACAAAGCAATTTTCAAAACGCTGTGCGAAAATTTACCCATACCTTAATATTTTTTATGCCCCCGGATCGAAAGATCCCGGGGGTATATTGTTTTTGTCCTGTCTGTCTGTTTGTCTGTTTATCTGTTTGTCTGTTTATCTGTTTGTCTGTTTGTCTGTCTGTCAGTTGTCAACTTTAACCTTGCCCATAACTTTTGATTGGTTGGAGCTATGACTTTCATATTTCACATATTTATTCCTTGTGACAAGACCTTTCTTTGGGTACCATCATATTTGACCTCTTGACCTTGCCTTGGAGTTTGACCCACTTTTGCAAAATTTATGAGACTTTAACCTTGGCCATAACTTCTGAACAGTTGGTGCTTGGGCTTTCATACTTCAAATATATAATCCTTGTGACAAGACCTTCCTTTGGATACCAACCACTTTGACCTATTGACCTTGACCTAGGAGTTTGACTTACTTTTGAAAAACTTTAACCTTGGCCATAACTTTTGAATGGTTGATGCTAGGGCTTTCATACTTCACATATGTAATCCTTGTGACATCACCTTCCTTTGAATACCAACCACTTTGACCTATTGACCTTGACCTAGGAGTTTGACCTACTTTTGAAAAACTTTAACCTTGGCCATAATTTTTAAATGGTTGGTGCTAGGGCTTTCATACTTCACATATGTAATCCTTGTGACAAGACCTTCCTTTGGATACCAACCACTTTGACCCTTTGACCTTGACATAGGAGTTTGACCTACTTTCGAAAAACTTTAACCTTGGCCATAACTTTTGAATGGTTGGTGCTAGGGCTTTCATACTTAACATATGTAATCCTTGTGACAAGACCTTCCTTTCGATACCAACAACTTTGACCTTGACCTTGATGTTTTACTTTCTTTTAAAAAACTTTAACCTTCGCCATAACTTTTGAACAGTTGCAGCTAGGGCTTTCAAATTTAACATTTTTTTATCTTTTGGCCTGGATTTTGACTTGCATTTGAGAAGCTGTAACCTTCGCCATAAGCTGCCATACGGGGGCATCAGTGTTTCACAGACACATCTTGTCTTATTTTAGGACCGCCTGTTCGATTCAGTGAATTCCCGAGACCAGTTCCGACAGCGCCACCTACACTAGGAGAACATACAGATCACGTGATAAAGGACTTGTTACAATTAGGGTCGGATGAAATAGATCAACTTAGAAAAGAAGGTGTTATACAATGAGAAATTTTTTGTTTTCTGTAACGCAATTTTATATCTTTTTAGATATTAAAAAGACATTTAGTCATGTATCCTGACATTTTTTATCTTGTGCCGAACTAATTGCACCTAAGATTTTTAAAATAGTAAATGACTTATATGTGTAATAGGAAGAATTGCTTCAATAAAGTGAATGTAAACCTTGAGCTAACTTGTTCTTGATGTTAGCAAGTGTGGATTATCTTCTGCTCCCACCCTTCAGTTATTTAAAATTTACAACATAAGAAGTCAAGCCACAAATGAAATGAGTACATGTAGTCATTCTGACGCCAGAACAACGAATCACAAGATGATACAATAACGTAAAACGTTACATTCCTTTAAAATGCCACTTTTCGTTTAGTTTGGAATTGATTTTAATGATATATAGTACATAGTAAAACTACATCAATAATATAGTCATACAAATGAACATGTATATTTCACCAGAACTACAAAGGAAAAAAGTTCTCATACATGAAAGTATATTCATTGTGGCAACACAGTTCATCGAAAAAAATCTTTTCATAAAACTATTTAGCTATCAAATGTTATACAAATTAGAAAAAAATGAGTAATAAAGAAAAGAATGAGGGTGAAGTGTTTCAAAATAGATGGAAACAAAAAGAACAGATAACGGACAGTTTGATTTGAGCTCACTTGGACCGAATTTTCATTTGATCTTTTTTGATTACATGTCGTCTGTCTGTTTGTCTGGCCGTGCACTTGGGCTGTGGTGGGCTAAAAATTCCAACGAAGGGGAGGGGAAACTTATACAACAGATGCAGATTTATTCAAGATTAGTTTTTCATAATCACATACAGCAAATTGGTATAAGATCAATTTTTCATTTTCACTATTTCAGTATTAGTACAACTTAATCAATTTACCAATTTTTAAATCATATAGTCTGTAAATTTGCATATTTTTATGCCCCGTATCGAAGATTCGGGGGTATATAGTTTTTGCCCTGTCCGCCCGTCTGTCTGTATGTTTGTCCGCAAAAACTTAAACATTGCTTATAACTTTTGATTGGTTGGAGCTATAGCTTTCATATTTCACAAGTGTATTCCTTGTGACAAGACCTTTCTTTGGGTACCATCATATTTGACTTTAACTTCAACCTTGGTCATAACTTTTGAACAGTTGGTGATAGGGCTTTCATACTTCACATGTGTAATCCTTGTGACAGGACCTTCCTCTGGAGACAACTTTCAACCTTTGACCTTTACCTAGTAGTTTGACCTACTTTCGAAAAATTTTAATCTTGGCCATATCTTCATACTTCACATGTACATGTGTAATCCTTGTGACAAGACCTTCCTTTGGATACAAATAACTTTGATCCTTTGACTTTGACCTTGGAATTTGACCTACTTTTGGAAAACTTTAACCTTGGCTATAACTTTTGAACAGTTGGTGCTGGAACTTTCATTTTTCACATTTGTAATCCTTGTGACAAGACCTTCCTCTGGAGAGCAACAATTATAGCCCATTGACCTTGACCTTGGAGTTTAACCTACTTTTGGAAAACTTTAACCTTGGCAATTACTTTTGAACAGTTGGTGCTAAGGCTTTCATACTTAATATATCTAATCCTTGTGACAAGACCTTACTTTGGATACCAACAACTTTGACCCTTTGACCTTGGAGTTTGACCTACTTTTGGAAAAACTTTAACCTTGGCCATATCTTTTGATCGGTTGTGCTAAGATTTTCATACTTCACATGTGTATTTCTTGTGAGAAGGCCTTTCCTTGAGCTCCATTAATTTTTACCATTTAACCTTGACCTTAATGTTTGACTTACTATTGAAAAACTTGAACATTTTTCATATCTTTTCAATAGTTGCTGCTAGGGCTTTCATATTTCACAGGTATATTCCTCGGTCCAAGACCTTACTTTGGGTACCAACATATTTGATTTGCATCACATGTGAGAAAGTTTAACCTTCGCTATTAGTTGCCATACGGGGGCATCAGTGTTTCACAAACACATCTTGTTTTCAATGTTACAAAGTAAAAAAGTCTTTTGAATTATGTAAAAACTAATAACTCAAGTGATGAATTTCTCTAGAAAATCCCAAATGCATTAAATAAATTTCAAAATCATCAAGATATCATGCACTACACGAGCTTGTTCGTAATGAACTACTTAAAAGAATGAATTTTAATAGTTACACAAGTTACATTTTATAATCTGAGTTTGGGAACGTTACATGTATAAACCATGAAGCAATTTTTTTTAAGAATACCCCCCCCCCCCCCCGTCTCTACGTGATTGTGCATAGTTGAATAATCAACTCCTATTCTTCTGTAATGACAGGTTCTTCATTATAATGAGTTTCCTACATTTCAATGGAAATACAGAAGTAATTTCCCTTCTTTGTATATGGATTCTCCAATTTAAACCTCAGATCTCATGAAAAGAAGGAAAATGAGGATATACATGTACGTGTAATAGATCAATCAGTAAATTATTCAATCGGTACAAAAATCAATTAGATATTCTGTCTATACTTCGATTTCCTTACCCTGTTACCTACTTATGTAAAAAAAAAAAAACCAGTAAAGCCTTTATGAAATATATGGAGATAACGAACAGTATTCAAGCTCAAAAGTCCTTTAAACATTACAAAATAGTAGCTGCAGAACTGTAGCTCTCTGCTTGAGAAAATTCGGACAGACAAAGCAGAGAGCTACAGATCCAAGCGTTGTAAAAACCTTCGATTTACGCCGCCGCATTTTTGTCGCTCGCTTCGGCTATTATTTCCTGTATTTAATGCTTTCCCCTGCTTTAAAAGTGGTATCCAATAATTATTCATATATTTTACTCCTATTCCTGACATATTCATTACCGTCTTCCTTGGAAGACGGTATACAGAGTTGAAGTATTTTACAGTCTTTGGACTTTGCACTTCCTCTCTTTTGTGATTGGTAGAAAATACATGAAGTGAAAATTTTCAATTATTTCATTGGTTAAATTGCTGTTCACGGCAAGGGAGATAATTTTCTGGTGATCTGATTTTCGTACGACTTAACAATTTTTCTAGATTTTCAATCTTTAAAAAAATCGACAAAAGGAACAAAAATTGCAATAAACGAAACTGTCACTTTAATTTTTTTATAGCAACTATTAAAAAAGAGTTTTTTTCTAACATTTTAATGGTTAACAGAAATTGAGTGCAAACATTAAAATTGATATTAATCTTTTTTTTGTCTTACTTGTTTTTGAACTGTCTTTTCTACGGTAGGGCGTCGACCATTTGATTCTGAAAGGGAGGGGGGGGGGCTGGCAAAAAAATTCGAGTCAAATTATTTATTTTCATGCGAGTCAAGGAGAGATTATCTATTTTCAAGTAATCAAGAACAGATCGTTAATTTTCTTTTTCACCGAAAAAAAATTGTCTGTGATAAATTTGTTGACGAAATACAAAGCCAAGAACAACTAAAAAATAATACGGCCTGATAGATGAATGTCAGTGTACTGTTTAAGGTTGTTGCTAAAGGCGGCAAGCTTTTGAAAAAAAGCTATATTTGTTATAATTGTAAACTCTACAGTGTATAGGCACGTGCTGTTTTAGAATTCACGTGGTACAAATAAACAGATCTAAGATTGCTCCAGTTCGTACGACCCTTGTTTTTCCGGCAGATTCTAATTTTGTATGAGGAGAGAATATTTATGTTTCTCAAACTACTTACATCAACTTTATATCTTATTTCTTAATTATATATTGGGTAAATTTGAATTGAAAAAGCACACGTTTTGCAGCCGTACTGTCGCTTTAAATCTCGCATTGAACGGCTGAGGGGCAATATGAAAACAATTTTTCTTCAATAATTCAGAAGTGGGAAAAGAACAATATAGATTATACTATCAATATATCCCGGTCCCAGCTGACAAAGCAGGTAACAACATTTTTGTAAGGTCATTATTTTAATTGTATTTAAGAGGAACTTGGATTTTATTGTAATACAACTTATATGCAGTTCCCTTTCTAATCAAATCTAATTGAATTTGAATTACCTTACCTATACTGGATTCCTAAACTACCTCAAAATTCTTACCAAGATACATAACGAGTTCCAGTAATTATATAAATGTTATACCAAGCCTATTTTTTTACTCCTCGCCAAATTATTAACAACAGTGCAGAAGGAGAAACTTCAGGAGTACTGTACAACAACACATTCGAAGGATGTTAACCAGATGCGGATACTCAAAAACTCCAAGGAACCTTTAGAAACTTTGAAATCAAAATCAATAACATGAAATTGTATGACTCTTCAACACTTTATACAATCATTTCATTCCATAAATTTAAGTCCAGGCTTTTTGATATCATAGAAAGCTGTTGTTGTTTTTTTTCTCTCAATAAAAATGGAACTCGAAGTTTACATACCCTACCATTGGTCATCTGCAAAATTATTTATTTAAAAAACATTCTGATTGTACACACCAGTACAGTAAAACACACTTAGAGCAACACTCCTTTAATGAATTGACGCTTACAGCAAAGTGATTTTCATACCCCGTAGCTTTATATTGTGATTGTTTGTGTATTGTTTAACGCCCCTCGAGAAATTTTCACTCATATGGAGACGCCACTTATATTGTGAATTTAACGGATATAACAAATTACGTTTATAACGAAACACAATCGTCCGTCCCTGAACTTTGACATTTTGACTTTGAACTTGGAGTTTGACCTACGTTTGAACCTTGGTCATAACTTTTGAACGGTTGGTGCTAGGTCTTTCATATTTAATATATCTATTTCTTGTGACAAGACCTTCCTTCGGATACCAACCACTTTGACCCTTTGACCTTGATCTAGAAGTTTGACCTACTTTTGAAAAAACTTTAACCTTGGATATATAACTTTCGAACGATTGGCACTAGGCCTTTCATACTTCACATATTTAATCCTTATGACAAGACCTTCCTTTGCATACCGACCACTTTGACCCTTTGACCTTGACCTAGGAGTTTGACCTACTTTTTGAAAAACTTTAACCTTGGCCATAACTTTTCAATGGTTGGTGCCATGGCTTTCATACTTCACATATGTAATCCTTGTGACAAGACCTTCCTTTGGATACCAACCTCTTTGACCTTGACATAGGAGTTCGACCTACTTTTGAAAAACTTTAATCTTGGCCATAACTTTTGAATGGTTGATGCTACGGCTTTCATGCTTCACATGTGCATTCCTTGGGACAAGACTTTCCTTTGGATACCAACAATTTTGGCAGTTTGGCCTAGAGTTTGGCCTACTTTTTAAAAAAACTTTAACCTTGGCCATAACATGTGAAAGTTTGCTTCTAGGGCTTTCACATTTCACGAACATGTGTATCACTTGTTACAAGACCTTCCCTTGGGGCCCCATTTGATCTTGACTTTGACCTTTTACTTACTTTTGAAAATAATTTAACCTTCGCCATAACTTTTGAACAGTAGGAGCTAGGGCTTTCATATTTCACAGGTATATTCCTCGAGACAAGACCTTTCTTTGGGTACCGACATTTTGATCTATTGACCTGGAGTATGACTTGCATTTGAGAAACTGAAACCTTCGCCATAAGCTGCCGTACGGGGGCATCAGTGTTTCACAAACACATCTTGTTTTATTATGTTCATCGCAAGGAAATATCATACTTTACAAATCAAGAAATAAATCAAGCAAATTAAATGCCCATCATTTAAGTCTTTATTTATGTGATACTGCATGCAGTATTAAGTGTGGATAAAGAAGTGAGGATATATCTGCATAATCATATCAATTGATTATGTACCACTAATCATTGTCAACCCTAACACTTTATTGTTATATCTCTTCTTGTATTCCTGTGTTTGTTGTTATACTTTCGACTCACACGATGTGGCTGACCGTCTGATATCAATTTTTAAAAATTAAAAATCAACACTTTTATAATCATATCAAAAATCATATCATAATCAAAAATCATAGAACGATGCCCCTCATACCTTTGATGATGAAGTTACAGTCACCACTGGCTTCCGTAGTTCCATTGATTGTCTCCCAGTTGATTCGACATTCAAGAGGTGCTTTACATGAGAGCAATTTTTAAAACGAGACAAGCTATTGACAAATAAGTTGATGATACAAGGATATCAACTATCATTTTTAAAGTCAACATTTTGCAAATTCTATGGTTGATACAATAACCTTGTAAGCAAATACAATCTACATATGTATCGTTATGTCGAATGTTGACTGACGTTTTTCATACAAATTGTTAGGCTATTATTTTCACGCAAAATTGTCCAGGGATTTTTCTGTTTGTCCGATCATGACAAGAATCACACGCCAGGTGTAACCGGTCGACAGGGGACGCATTACTCCTCCATGGTACCTGATCCCACCTGACGTTTAAAAAGTCTGTGTTCTGCTCCCAATTTGTATTGTTCTAATGGACTATAATTTGAGCTTGATTACAGTTCGTTATCTTCAGTTTTCATCATTGGATTTTGTAAAGGCGTAATTATGCCTCTTTCCGCGTTATTATGTCTTTATTTGCGATATACATTCTTTTCTTCTTTGTGTTATAACGCCTTTTAATTTTCTAAGAACATTATAAACATTTAATTGAATGGTTTTTATATACGCGAAGCTATATAAGCATCTCACACTTTAAGCTATATAAGTTTATCTACCCATATTCTTTTGGAAGCAATTAAACCTTTCTAACATCCATGTAATTCTAGCTGATAAAAATATTTTATTCAATTAAGGAATAAATATGTATATTCATTCAATATGTATATTAACTGAAGAGTACACAAATGAAAAAAAAAAACAAAATTTATGATATATATGCATGTTTACTACACTAAATCGTTTTATTATGAATTATAAAGTTTATTTCTTCGTGATCGCAGTTTTGTAATTCTTTGTGAAATAAGGATCATTCTTTTTCTCATCTCCGAAAATGAAATGTTTCTCCATTTCCGGGGAGTACTTCAGAGCCGGTGCCGGCTTTTCATACACAGCAGCTATCTCCCGGAGAAAGTGCGGGGCGTTTCCGCAACACAAACCCACATACTGGACACCTAAGGCCTTGCACTTTTCTGCAAATGACCGGATTTCCTCGCGAGTACAATAACAAGATGAAAGGTCCAGCGGAAATGCCATTTTCTCTAAAGACCAGAAAATTAACTTATTCACTATACATAGCACAGGAAGACAGCATCTCCCCCAGTATCACATTTTCCTCATAATAACTTCTTTTTTTTTTAAATACTGAAGTATGTTCAAAATGTTCTAGATTTATATCATCCTTTTATCACTTCCAACATATATACCCCTTCCCAGTGCTGGCAAATCAAAGTATGCATATCATGTATGTACATTACAAACTAAATACAATTACATCTACTGTACAGTGAAGTGCAGATATACTACACTATACAATATCAGATTAAAGATTTTTAAAAAAAAATCACACTTCACCTGTTCCTGGCACGGTCAAAGAGAAAAACGTAACTTGATCCTGATTGGTTCTATATGGAACAGGCAACGCTGCGATTGGTCCCTGCAAATTAGAAAAACGTCTATACAAATAGTTTATTTATAAATCTTTGATAATTTAGACAGGCTTGACCTCAGGGATACCACACAGAATAAAACTCATTTATTTTGAATATTTTAAACTACAATTCTGAAACAGAAGATGGTTTATATTAATGTAAAGGGTGCAAGGCCGAAGGTAAGTGAATGATTACAGGGAAATGGGATCCGGAGATCTATATACACAAATTTAATTACTTTACAAGCCTTCTGAACAAGTTTCAGCGGTTCAATTATGGTTTCTGGACCCCGTCCGCAATTTAAACCCACGACATCTGCCCCAGCTTCCTCCAAACGTTTGCAGGCCTCGTCCACAGGTATCCCGTCATGCATCACTGTCGTCATGGGAACCGACAACGTTATCACAGAAGGTAATCCTAAGAAGGCCAAGAGATAAAGATCATCTGGTCGCTTTTCATAGTTTAAACAGTTAAGTCTAAGAACAATGTTACAAATCAGTGAGGACAAATATACATGTACTCAGTATTCCTTTTAAGGAAAATGAACGGTAAGTGAATATTCAGAAGTTAAAGTTTAAGTAAATGCACAGACTGTATTATCTTTTTCTTGACAACCCCCCCCCCCCCCCCCCATTAACGAATTGACATTCCGGATAAGGTGTACTTCCGTTAAGGAAGTGAATGAATTTTTTGCGCACATGGAGAACACGTAAGTTTACACGTGAACCATGTAACTGTTTTAAATGTTTCGTCTCAAATTTGTGCATAAAAAGAAGCTCCTTACATAACATGTCATGATAAAGTCTTTACATAAAGTTGTCAGTGAATTTTAAACACCGTAGACTTTTGTGTCATGTGTGCGCAAATAGCTACATTAGCTGTTTTTGGCTGCACCCGACCACAAAAATAACCTTGTACCTTTTCCGTATTGTTTAATACATTCCAGAGCTAGCATGGCTTCTCCAAATTCACCAAATGTCTCTGCTACAATGAAATCTGCACCCCCTTCGACCGCCCATTCTATTTGTTCCTGCATATAAAGGTTTCACAGTTTATTACAAAAATAGAATATTTTAAATATAACATTTATACAGAATTGTTTGAATAACCAGTCGATTTCTCATTTTTCCTATTTGTCTCAAAAATATTTAATATGATTAAAATCATAATTATTTTCTTAGATCCACGCTGAGTTTTGTTTATTTATTTGCACATTAGAATTGTTTGCATGGTCAATTATGTACTTTTCTTGAAACTTAAACCAATGCATTGTTTACTTGTCCCTCTTCCAGTGAGGATAATAGCAAATGATTTTAAAGGGAAATACTAGTTCTCAATACCTCGAAATTACAGAATCCCTACTTTCAACTTGAACATTTAAATGCTCTGTAGTACATGTAGTTCTTTTTTCTTCTTTGCGTCGTAAGCTAGCAACTTTACAAAAATTACATTACGTCAGAGATCATAGGGCATGAAGATAGATTGCAAAATCTTTTTTTTTTTTTAATTTATTTTACCGGGAATGAATTCCAATGGTCGCGTTTTTTTCTTTCAACCCAAAGGAAATTACAGTTTGATAATTTTTTTTTAACATGTATTTATTACATCAATTGATAAAAACTTGTACCTTCGTATTCATGGGAGGGGATGTTATTGGCTTTGTCATTTAGAAAAATACTGCAAGGTTCAATATTTCTGCTTCTTGTCTTACGATGTCGTTGAACATAAACTATTTACAGTACTTAAATGTCATCATTTCATACAAAGAATTTTGATCCCAGATGGAAGAATGCTGATCGCTTTTCTGGACTTTCGGTACTTTGGTTTATCTTCAACTACAAATAGGTTATCATTTCTTAAACAGGTACCTACTTATAGTCGTGTTTCTCTTACCTTAAACATATCTCTAGTATTCTCTATTGCCTGTTCGTCTCCTTTTTTGTACACGGTAGAGTTGCAGATGTTTCCCGCCATTAATGTTCCAGTTTTATCTGCAACTTCTCGCGCTATTTGTAAGGCCTTCATATTCATGGCTTTTAAGTCGGACTCCCTGTTCACCAGTTTCAGTTTTTGACGATGGGCGTAATACTACAAAGTAGCAAAATAACTCTTTGATATCCCTTGATTAATTGCTTTATGTTTAAACAAAACTTCAAGAAAAAGACACGTCCTTGTCTCTAATAATAAGTGCCAAATACATGGTCTAAAGAACGAGGGCGCTTTTGATTGGCATTCGGCAGGAATCTGGGCGCACTTGAAAATGAAAATTTCATTGATCTGTCACATAAAATTTTAGCATTCTTTTGCTGTATTGGGTTCCTGTGAAATAGGAAATGGAAATATTTTCCCGATATTGTATTTTGATTTGCTAAAAAAGAACTTGAAAATTGGCTAGATGAGTCATTTGGTACAAAATGTTACATTTTCAAACACGTTTTTCTAAAAATTTGCTACCTCTGGGTCATCTCTCCATGATTTTGAAACGTTATTTGTGTGCATTTTAATTCAAAGAAACGAACAAACATTTGGAAAAAATGGAGAGAAGACCCAGAGACAATAAAAAATGAACTTTTTCCAAAAAAAAATTCTAACTTGTAAATGCGGTGCTCCATTGTCGCTTATAAAACCATAAAGTGTGTGGAGCGGTGATAGTTCAGTAGTATGCGTAACCCCGTCCAGTGCAATGAAAAATAAATATTTTTGGTTCGATCCTCGCATGGAGCGTTAATATTTTTTTTTTAGTACAAACAATTCTTTTGTCAGTTTAATTTTATGTACTGATTTATTTTCAAATAGATAAATTCTGGTTCTGTTGCACCGAAAGCGAAAGCAATTTTTCCAACCTACTGACACTTTAATATATACATGTAATTGCATTTAATTAACTATACCCAATAGGTGTTTATTACTTATGTGAAGCGTTACTAAGTTTTAGGTGTAGTAATTATTAAGATAAGCGGACTGATATATTAAATTCGACACAGTATTTCAAACTAAATGTAACATTTTCCCATGTGCGTAACTTTGTAAAGTGTGTCCAGCTGTGGTCAGCCGACCAAATCGTAGGCATTTAAACTATAAATGTTTCGTACGCCTTATTCCTGCAGATCACACGCCAAACACGCCCGTCTTCTTTGCTGCGCATGCCTTCCACCAGCAAGGGCATCGCGGAAGTAGAATATTCCAAGTCACGATAACAGAATATTGTAGGAATATTGCTAGGATTATTTTGTATAATCGAAACGGGATCGAATCTTTACAAAACCTTGAGAATGTCGCTAGGTTGGGACATTGCCTCTGTGTAGGCCAGAGGGACTGACATTATATATAGACCTTGCTATAAGTAATGTTAGGTTACAATACAGTCTACAAATATGTACACGTATTTGGAGCAGGAAATGGCTCATTTCACAAAATAATCTTTATACTATACTGAAGGAACATTACCGTAAAAGCTAGAACAACATCACTACCAGCGTGAACATATTCTTCATGCAGAGATTTAACGAGATCTGGATGATCGAGTACCACTTCCGGAACAAAACTTCCGGATTTTAGATAGCCACGTCTTTCAAATTCAAATATGTAACCCTCTGCCACAACAAGGTTTTCGCCATCCTTCAACCTCTCCCGTAAACCTGATGAAAGAGCAACATTTGAAATTAACCATACAAATCCCCTGTTTTGTCCATGTGTTTAAAATATTGCATAAATCGATAATTTTTGAGGCAGTTAATACATGTACTGCAATTTTATATTTGCTTATTTTTGTTAAAATCTGTTGTTGTCACTAAAAACCTTATCCTAAGTTATCATTTACCCACCTTTTGTAGACATATTCCTTCTGCTTTTATACGCTGTATGACTTTCGTTTTATGTTCTGTGTTACGGAGCGTAACTTCTGTCGAAATATCCCCGCTTTTTCAACCATAAAAACACAGGTACATTTTGCTTACAAAACATATGAACTTGCAAAAATAATACAGGTACATCACATGATTAAGTCTTTTGTTATGTGTTTAATGGAGAAGAAATGGAATATGATAACTAAATAACTATGGTTAAGGAATTTGATATCGATGGGTTTTTTCCCCATCATAGGCCATGACGCATAAGGTCAAGGAAAAAAAATCATTTTTCTGCAACTCTCACCACCAGTGCACCTTTACAGTTCAGTTCCATTGATTATTCTCAGCACCAGATTTAAAAAAGCCTTAGATCTTACCAATACGGTGAATTATGTCCACTTTAAGTTACATTATTATGTACCGTTCTAGACGTGTATTACATCGTTAATGTAATGTCAATTTATATTTAATGTCAATTTATATGTAATGTCAATTTGAATGTCATTGGAAGTCAGTTGTTTAGACAAACTTACTACAGATGATATGACACTTCTTTGTTATCTGTTAGACTTCAAATTGTAGTCTGTCTTGGCCACCTTACTTAGCCACGGAAGGTCCAAGACCAGAAAAATCCGGTCCAATTGCTCTAAATAAACATTTATAGATAACATTACAAGCGTCCGATATTTTAACCAGGATCTATTTTATCTTTTCCAAAATGGGGTCAAGAGTTTTTAGCGATAATATTAATTTTTTATTTTATACACATTTCGAAAATATGTAAATGCTAAGAGATTTCCTAATCAATAACAAATAATAATTTGTTATATTCACTGCAAGAAATACTACGATTTTTTGTCAGGCCTTAATTTTAGCTATAAATGATTGAGTCGCAAGCAGTACTGCTTTACATGTAGAAATTGGTTTGGTAAGTTTTCTAAAATATACAATGTACGGGTATAAAATACGATAATTTAAAAAAAAAAAGGGGGATGACCTATTTTTCCATTTTAACAAGGCCTTTAATGCAGACGAGCTTAAAGAGATAAAAATGTATTTTTAAAAAGAATGTGGTAAGCAATAGACCCTGGAATGCTCTTTTCCATCTTCCATGCGCTTATTGATCACAAAGCTCGCTAGCCTTGCGTTCACCCTTCGTATCACCCTCATTTCAGAGTTCACTATACATACGTTCAGTTTAAAACTCTGAAATCAAAGTGAAAGGATCGATCATTCTTAGGATAAAATAAAACAAAATGTGTTTGTGAAACACTGATGCCCCCGTATGGCACCTTATGGTTAAAGTTTCTCAAAATTTAATACAAGTCAAACTCTAAGGTCAAGAAATCAAAAATATTGATACCCAAAGAAAGGACTTGTGTCAATGAATATACCTGGTAAATATGAAAGCCCAAGCACCAACCATTGAAAAGTGATGGTCAAGGTTAATGTTTTCTGAAAGTGGGTATAACTTCAAGGTCAAGGTCGAAGGGTCAAAATTAATGGTACGCAGGGGAAGACTTGTCATAAGAAATACACATTCAAAATATAAAAGTCCTAGCACTAACTGTTCAAGGGTTATGGCGAAGGTTAAACTCAAGGTCAAAAAGTCAATAATTTATTGTTGGTATCCAAAGGAAGGTCTTGGCCGTCGCCCGCGTAGCGCAGTGGTTAGAGTGTCAAGGTTAAAGTTTTATAAAGTGGGTCAAACTCTAAGGTAAAGGTCAAAATGTTTTACTCCCATTGAAAGGACTTGTCACGATAAATAACCATGTGACCTAGCACAAACTGTTCAAAAGTTATGGCCAAGGTTAAGGTTGGGTAATTTTTTGAAAAAGTTGATCAAACTCCAAGTTCGAGAGGTCAAATTTGTTGGTACCCAAAGTAAGGTCTTGTCACAAGGAATACACATACGAAATATGAAAGCTATAGCTCCAAACCAATTAAAAGTAAAGGGCAAGGTTAAAGTTTTTGCGGAGAAACAGCTAGACAGACGGACGGACAGGGCAAAAACTTTATACCCATGAATCTTCGATTTCGGGGACATAAAAATGCGATACAGTGTTCAAAAATGATCATTTTTCCCTCTTTGGTGTGTATATGCTTTTTAATGACATTGGCAAGGTTCCTGGATATCGATTTTTTTCAAGAATTCATGGGGTTTAATGGTAATAACAGGTTAATTCTGGTTAGTTTATTTTAAGCTAAGAAGCTAACCTTCTTTTTTAGATTTCGTCAAATCAATGATTTTACAATTCTCAATGCATTCCCAATGCAAAATGTTGATAAAAGGGACCTACATAATTTTTCACCATAGGATTTCTCCAAAACCCATTTAATTTTTATCATTTATGTAATATATACATTATTTTATCCTCTTTGCCTTTGACATCTAGTTATTTTAGCTAAAAATGAAATATAGAAATAAGACATCATTCTTTATTTATGAGTTACTTCCCTGAAAGTCATATATGGCGTATTTTTTAGAAGTTAAGACTAAAATTAAAAAGATCTTTCTATTTGTTTTATTATTTTATATAAAGATACGACTTTCCTGTAAATTACTCAATTTAAATCAATCACGTTTCAAAAATATTAGAAATTTAAAACAATAACCGATTTATTTACCGACTCCGCATTTAAATAACAGATACAATTTAAAGTCAATTGAATTATGGAAACATTAGGTTCTTTAAGTTCAAAATCATGAAAATTTTAATTTGAACGTAATTTACATATATCATGTTTATCTACACTGAATATCGTATTTTTATTTTTTTTTTTTTTAGCTCAGATACGCCATATATAGCTTTGACTATAAAATTATTATTCATAATGACCAAGAGACTAGTTAATTTACTCCATTTATTTAGAAACAAATTGTTGTAAGAATATTGGTATGGATTTGTTTTTATTTTTTAATCGTAGTTTAATCGTAAATGGTGCCTCAGAACTGTTCTCAGCCGCTCTGCCTTTCAGCATATGTCACATCTTTGCCTTTCCCAACATAGCTATGGTAAATGATGGTCTATTTGCGTCCCCTGAACACAATGTACAACAAAGCCACCACTTATTTTCTTTCATGCCATATAGATAATTCCACTGCTGAAGGAAGTTTACATGCTTTTGGTCTGCTCTGTAACACATTCCTTATTGGTTTTCACCGCGTGGAGAATTTGGCCCATTCTCTATTGCTTAAATGCACTTGTCTTTTATTATAATAGCAAAATACTGTACTCAGAAAAAGTGGGAGGGGCACCCCCATGGCCCCCGCGTTCTGTGGGCTTGAGCTTGATACAACTATATTTATTTATTGCATCTCTGCTGTATTAGACAATCAATCCACACTGGTTTTAGTACCAAGCACACATCCAATAGATATTGTACCAGACTCAAGGCGTACATGAATTCATATATAAAATAATAGTAAGACACACATCCAAGCACATTAATTTCAATAGTTGTGTTTGTTTATTAATCACAGAGAGGACATGAGTAAATGTTGTTTATCATGAAAATATAATACAATAAAATAACTTGAATTTCATGTATATATATAGTTTCTTTCTTAATACTAAACCTATATTTGTGATTGCATGCTTATCTTCAAAAATTCATATATGCATATTAAAACTGTATAACACTGCATGAGAATTATCAATTTGCAAACAAGTTCATGTTATATATAAAAGGGAATAAAATAAAATGTATACATCGTAGACTATGAATGAATGTTAATAGGAAAGTATGTAATACTGACAGTTTATTTCATTTTAACAAACAATAAACCGATACATAATATTTGATAGTTCTCCTTTTCAACGCTGAAAAAGGGAAGAAATCAGCCTTGAGCAGCAAGAGTACTGGGCCCCTTATCCTCCATAAACTTGTTAGTCTGGAATCCGGAATACACATACGGACTGGCTCTACTTTTAAGAGTTGTTCCGACTTCCGTGTGCTGATCATGCTGTAGGTTGTATGCATTCGGACCTGGTCCTTCCTCGGCTGATAGGGATTAATAAAGATAGTCAGCAAAATGGATGCATTTCTGATATTTCATAACAATCTAGTACATGGATATTTTGTAGTCTTTGATTACTTGCATGTTCTCTTAAAGAAGATGAGCACATTTCGCGTATATTATGCAGGAATTATATGTACGAATTATTCATGAAATACTTTATCAAAAAATATACAACGTAATATTTAAGTCTGCTTATGGTAATAGTTACGATATCAGTAACATTTCACATAATTAATAAACAGCTCTCAAATAATAGGATATAATTATATACAAATGTATTAAAATTATAGTGGTTCGGAAGAATTGTTTTTGATTTCGGCGCAACAATTAAATAAAGATATAACTTTATTTTCACTTTCTTCATTTGGCTACAGGCCTATATTTAACTCAGAGACGTATAATATTTCTCCAGATGTTTACAGAGACATTTTACCTTTGGAGTTTGGATGCCTTCCTGTTATGGAGTATTTAGGAGCCCCAGCTAGATCTTGTGGGGAGTAAGTAGCAGGCCCTGGACTTAACCGACCTAATAAAAATTCATGTTTGATTGAAACGCAATTTTATCTAATAGCGTCAAACTCTCGAAAGTATAAATTTTCTGTGTGCGGAAGACCATCATTTTAAAATAAAAGAATTGATATTTAATCAAAAACTTTAGATGTCAATTTGTGTACATGTATATATTTGAGTGTAAGGGTATACTCGCTTTCCATTCCAGAATATCAAATCATACATAAAACTCCTTATTTTATCACTTTTCTAGATATCAGTAAAGATGTTCACTAACTATCCGGGATATCTAATCGTGTATACTCACTGTTCGTGATATCATAGTATACATGTACTCACTGTCCGGGATATCAAATCGTTTTCCCATGGAGAAGGCGGGTCCTTCTGGCACTCCCTTTTCGTACTCGTACTTATTGGGGGCAGGGTTTTCATCTGAAAATTCATAAACTCAGTATAAGTGCATAAGCCTGATCGGTCCCTAAGCCCTGTACTGTATATTATCCACAGTTCTGTAACATATATTTGTCTTTTGTTTACAATAATCATATTTAAGAAATGTAACATGTTTCAGTGGTCTTTCGAACTCTAGTAGATATACTTGTATATTACATGTAGCATACTACCTTAATTAAACATAATGCATACAAGAAATATAGCAACACGCCCATGCAAGATTGCACCGAATATAGTCTACAAGTTATGTTTGCTCTAAATTTTGCAAAAGGCTACATAAGCGAAGGTGGAGAATTTTTTTTATGTGATTAAAGTGAAGTATAGTTTTATGTATTGTTCAAAGAACTCACATTACACAAGACTTGTTTTTAATTTACTTATTCCTATACAGCAGAAGAACAAAGAAAATCCTGACCGATGCCAGTTGATGGTGTGTATAAATCTAACTAAAAGTATTAGGTTAAATAATTAAGCCACCTCACTTTTTTCATTTATGTTGTATTTGTGTCGTTTCATCCAACGAATCAAATCTCGTGGTATTTATACCAACATACTGAATAAAACATTTCTTTTCCAGCAGGATATGCCGGTAAATAAATAATATCTCACTTAATTTCTCCTGGAGTTTCTCTCCTATTTTATATGCAGGAGAATCATTCGCAGAGAACTTCTTCCGGGTGCTGTAACTTCCGGGTCCGGGTAAATCACCGGCGTCTGCGTCCGTAAAATAAGTGAACACATTGAATTAAAAATAATTAAAATTGATACCACACTGAAAGACAAATATACTGGAAAAAAATATCCTGATAGATCTTTTTACAAAAATTCTGTATTCCTTCCCTATATTTAGAATATTCTGAATTAATGATTAGGGATAGTTTCAGGTTTGTTTGGCCACGAACTTCATAATAACGTTACAAGGAAAACATTGCCCAAAACAACAAACCTCAGTCTAATTAAAACCAACCCCTTCTCCTTCTCCTTGCGACGATATGAGAAAAGGGGATGGGGGGGGGGTAATCAGACCGAGCAATCATTTGCATTATAAAACTTCAACTTTAAATCATATTACTGTAATTTAAATAAAGAAGTTAATTTAAGGCAGGTAAGTATAAAAAGTTGTCATTTTGGAGAAGAGAAATAAAACTTCACCTTTTGGTGTGTAGTTCAAAGAATCCGGGAATGGCGGTTTTGTCTTTTGGCGATTAGTGAACATTGGGGTCTTCCGGAGGTTTGCTTTAGTAAGGGTGTAATCTGTGGGACCCGGTCGTGTTGGCTCTAGAGATTGTAAACAGTTTAAAATAAATTACAACAAGTCGTGGGAAATATTTCAAATTGCTTGTAGCTCATAGCATAAAATTAGATAGCTTTAAAAGAGAACATTTATTTCTGCACGAGATTGTGTCGATTAATAGGATTTATATTCTGAATGGCGTTCACAATTCCTTATTTCATGATCACCCCTATCTTTGGAATAATGTGTTCAATAATACAATGTCAAACATTCCATATAATTATACCCTAAAATTGAAAATTTTTAAATAAGCACACCACACTTATAGTATATAATTACCTCCTCAACAGAAACAATGGGTGCAAATGCATTAAAAAATACTCATTGCATGAAAATAAAATACATGATTGGTGTAATTTCACATATACAAGTACGTGTAAAAAGTAATCCCAATACCAAAAATATACTATTATCAAGAAAATGAATTGTATTTGTGCAAAGACGAACACAAGACTTATCGGATCATATAATCTCCTCCCTAAACAGAACACTACAGTCTCACACTATTCAAACATTTGTACCTCCAAAAAGGGATCTGAGTCGCCTCCCCTTGAAGGAGACGGCAGGGGAAGAAAACAAAGTTGAGCTATTCACTTTATAATCGTTTGGTCCCGGAGTTTTATCTTCTGTGTTAATCTCGGGTTTGATATACATTGGACCACTGTTTGCTTGGAATGGTCCACCATAGTGATCCCGAACCCGACTGTCTTTTAAACCATTGAAACCACTTCCGATTGTTGTTTTAATGTTGTACGAACCCGGGGCAGGAGCATCATTTGATTCCGCGGGAAGCAAAAATGTAGCGTGATATTCTTTCAAGTGATCAAATCGTCGGGTTCTGTCTCCTTTGAAACTAACACCAGGTGTGTTCATTTCAACAAATGTTCGCTGTCTTGACTTTTGTCTCGTCTGAGCTCTGCTTTCTGCACGAGATCCCTTAAATGACACTGCTGTAGTATCTGTTCCGATTGTGCTTTTAATCTCGTATCCCCCTGGAGCTGGCGTTTGGTCGATCATATCCGGAACCAAGAACACGGCATTCTGGTTCTTAGCAGTGTCAAACCGTCTATGCCTATCCCCCTTCATTGACACACCAGGAGTCTTACCAACAGCTACAGGTACGTCGTATATTTTATCGTTCCTCCTTTTAGTCGACAATTCAGGGCCGATATATGTTCGGCCAGTGTCAGTCTGGTATGGACCAAGGCTACTTCTACTACCTTTAAAACTTGGAGATGGGGACTGAACTCCTACCGTTGTACCAATATTATAACTTCCAGGACCTGGTGTTTTCTCTATAGTTTTTGGAAGAAGGAACCCACAGTTCAGTCTTGGGGTTTCATTGAAGTTCCTTTCACGATTTCCTTTCAAAGAAACTCCTGGTGATTTTCCCATTGAAGAGGGTATATCATAAGTTTGAGGGCCTAATAATCTTGAGCCTCTTTCATCAAACTGGGGTGTTACATGCATTTGACCTCGATTTGACTGAAACGGTCCACTTCGACGACCTTTTAATGAAGCTCTGCTACTCCCAAAACCAAACTTTTCCTCCACGTTGTAAGCATTTGGACCGGGTGTATCATCCACTAGATTCGGCAAAAGAAAACATGCCTCCTTTCTCGCGGAATCAAAATTCCTCTTCCGGTCCCCTTTGAATGACACTCCTGGTGTACTGCCTATAGTAGTCTTCATTCGATAAGAATTTGGGGCCGGTGTGTCCTCAAAGTATCGCGGACTTAGTATGTCAGATTTTGAGCCAGTGGTAAAGAATGTCCGTGGACTGAGATCATTCTGACTCAGCGTCTTTTTCAAATCGAGGCGTGGAACCCCTATGTGACTACTTGAACTATTCAGGTCCATCATCGATTTAGCAAAATATTGACTCATGATTTAAGTGAAGTATTGTTTTCTTTGGGTATATAAAGGGGGGTTTGTATTTACACTTTTGTCTATATACTTAGTTTGTCTAAGCCTCAAAATCAATGATTATTTCAGAACGAAATGTCTTTAATTCTCGACACATTGAAACATTACTGGCGTCACTCTCTGAATGTTTTATGAAATATTACATTTACTGTGGATGGATTTTCGCTACAGTACCTTCCGGATCGAACCACTTATACGCTAAGGTAGTAGCTCTGCCGTCTCTGATCAGGGACTCGGGGAGGTAATATCTTGCAGGAGATGGCCCGCCTTGAACAAAAAAAATTATGTTTTTTACTTCTTATTCTTCTTTGCAATCGATCAATTTTGCGAATTATGAAATGAATAAACTTAAAATTGAAATTTTATGATAAGAAAGAGAGATGGTTATCCTAAATATGATCAGATGCAATAAGGGAAAGTACTTCTTTGCAATTTGAAGTTATCTGATAAATAACAACATCGATAATCACAAAGAGAAGACGTCTGGTTAAGACTTATACATGTACTTTACAATCATTACCTATCCACTATCCTGAAAACATTTTACAATCGACCAAATGGATTTTGAGCTTTTTTTAATATAAAATGAGAAATACGGCTACTTACTTGTGTCCTTTTCTTTATCCTGCCGTCTGCTGGCAATAATTACTGACGTGGCCCTACCAATGGTGGTACCGAGATCGTACGTGTTTGGCGCAGGGCTGTCCTTGTTTACGGCTACAGATATATTAAATGATCTATATTTTGTAGCTGTCAACAACTCAGTTTTAAGAAGTTTACATGTAGTTGTCAATGCAAAGGATTTTTGATAAAAATTATAGCTTGTAGAGTATAGAAAAACGAAGTGTACATTTAGTTATACTCGAAGTCTATACTCTAAAGCCCAATGTAGTACGTTTGCTTATTGATATATGATTACTTTCTAGACGTTTTTATCAATTTTTATTATTACATCAAATAAACGTACTTTGTTGAACATTCGGAGGTGGTGGCAGCTTACAACCAAAGGAATAGGAGGGACCACGTGACGTCTGCCTAACAATGTAGTCACTGGGACCTGGAATTAATGCATAAACATTGGGCTTAACATAGATAGTCTGGCTATGAGTGGATATAAATTTAAGAGGAAATTATTATGACTTGCCTGGTGAGCATTTCCACACTGTCGTCCTTGCAACTCCAAATGACTTCTTTGGACCTCGACCAAAGTAAGAAGAATTTGGTCTGTAATTCGGCCCAGGTGTTGAAAAACCTACGAAAAAGGACTTATGGTATACCTTTAATCATACTTATCCCACCAAATAAATATTAGGCGTCTGATGTACAGTTTAATTTTACAAATATGACAGAGTGTATACATTTCGGTATTCCATTGGATACCTTGTGAATCCACGGGATGAACTTGGCTATTTGGGGGCCCGGTATAGACGTCAGGACGCTGCTTGTGAGCGATGCTAAATTTAGGACCACAGTTGTTCCCACATTGTTGATAGCTAGAGTTATACTTCGCTGGTCCGATAACTGTACAATACTTCTCAGCTACGTAAACATGAAAGTAAGTGTACGCATTACTGGAACAGCTAGAAGACTTAATGATGAATGTAGTCACTTTGTCAAAGGTGTTACATTAAGTGTATTTTTTCTAAACAGTACAATTTAGACAATTCGATACACTCTTAAAATTGTTACACTATATTGAAAATGCTTACTCACCTTCTTCGTCAAATGAACATTTACTTCTTCCTTTGAACGTTACTGTTTTATTTTTCCAAATCAAATCCCCGCTGGTAGAGAAATCAGAAGGACCGGGACTGCCGCTGTCTGTCAAAGAGAAAATCATTACGGCCACGTTATCAATCTACTTTTTATAGATAACTTTTAGAACAAATATCGCTATAACAATTGAAATGTGCTTTTACTTCTACGGTTCAATTTACTTTGTTAGTTAATGACTGAGATTATAACATATTACACATGTACGTAGAGTTGGTAGCTCTTTATCACTGCTTCATTCAAGAACCTGATATCTTTGCTTCGTATTTGAAGTAATGCATTATGTAGTCAGCATATAGAGCCAAAACTTGATTCTTGATAGATGGTTATTTTAATGGAAACTTACTTTTCCTTGTTTTATATTTTCCGGAAATGGAGTAATGAGGAAGTGATGTTTTGTTACTAATCAAAGGTAGATAATCCGCTGGTCCAGGGGTTGGATCACCTTAAATAAAATACAAGTCCTTTCAGAGAAAGGGATCTGGGAGTGTAATATTCAGTTGTCGAACTTGTGACTTACGTAATGCACAGAATGAACGTACTAAATTTGCTGAATCGATTAATTATGAATAAGAAGGCACATTGGAGCACTGGGGGGTTGAGTCGGGGGGGGGGGGGGGGGGGGTCATAATTCAGAATGGTGAATCTAAGAGTGGGCTTCACGTCGGCAATGGCATAACTCCTAACTGTGCTTTAAGCATTCTGTATTCTACTGTAATTTCAATTTGGAGGTGTAAAAAAGGTCAATAGAACCAATGAGCACCTAGTTTAAAATATTCCAGTGTGGTACTGTTTTTTAGCAATCGCATCTTCTCGGAACTTTCCGGCAAGCTCGGTAAACATATTCGAGGTTGCGGCGGTTTTCCGAACTTGCCGGAGAAATCAATGAAGGTAGATTAGAAAAGCTAGGTATTCATTACAATTTTAGAAATAACAGTCTTCGTTTTAAAAGACCCGAGTAACTGTTACTTTTTGTTCATTTACGTGCAGGATAGACAACAAAACCCGAAACTGCAGATCATATGTATTTTCAGATGATAGAAACTTATAAAACGAAGACTGTTATTTCTGACATGTCTTTCCGACATACTCTGAAAAGATTTTTTTTCCGAGTTTGCCGAAATTATCCAGGAAGGTGGTATGACTGTGAGGAAAGCTAGATGTCTAGAATCTTGGCATTATATGACCTAAGTTTTTCTTGTACTTTTATGTGTAGGTTAGACAATAAATTTAAAAAAAAATTCAGAATCCGGATCTAGACTGGTATTGCCTGTCTCTAACGTAAGAAATGTATATCGCACATATCAGACAGGAAAGGCTAGTGTAAATTTTGATCATATCTATATTTGTATGACAAAACGAAATTGTTATCGCACAGTCTATCTACAGTAGTTTTCCCAGAATGCCCGACCGTGAAGTCGAGCATGCGTATTCCAGAAATATAGACTAACGTAGTTGCTAGCGCTCGAGAGGGCTAGCAATTAAGAATAAACTAATGTACGAGATAGACACACTCGAAACAATGAACGAATGAATTCTTAAAGAAACGGGTGTACTTTCATTTCGGAAGTTAATGAAATTCTTGCGCGTATAAAGAAAACGTAAATTCATTCAACATGTAACTGTATAAATGTCTGCATCTCAAAGTAAATGCATTTAAAAAGTTTCTTAGTACTTAGCTTATTATGATAGATACACATGAAGCTGTCAGCGCGTAGTTTGTTTGTTGTTTAACGCCCCTTTCGAGAATTCATATGGAGACGCCATCACTTGCCGGTGGAGGGCTGCAAATTTATACCTATGCTTGGCACTCAGGGCCATTGAGCAGTGAGGGATCTTTTTTCGAGCCAACACATACTGCGACACGGGACCTCGGTTTATACGGTCTTATCAGAACGACCTGTCTCCACGTCCCGCAGTGGATTCGAACCCGCGACGTCAGGATCAGCTCTTTCCTCCGCGACTCTAGAGCAGACGCTCTAACCAAACGTCGCGGGCGACGTCAGTGCATAGTAAACAAAGTACACATAGTCCGTTGCGTCATGTGTGCGCAAATAGTAATCTATTTGCCTGATGCCTCACATGGAATCAACTGTGATTGGCCGAAGGGTATTAATTAACTGCATAGACCCGCTTCTATGGTCGCTGATTTAGTCATTGTCGGGTACTTAAATGTTGGCTGATCATATCTGATGCTTGTGTCATTTTATTTCTTGATTTCAAGATGATATCTCATCATATGATTGGTTTCAGGTCGGTTCATGTCATACAGGGAGGGAAAAGGATGCCATCCTTGGTTGCTCAACCTTTTATCACGGTAATCTATCTCTACTCAGCACCACGGTAGCCTAGTGTGAGGGCGTTCGTTTCGTGATCGGGAGGCCTGGGTTCGAATCTCGTTTACCGCGCCGTGTCAAACCTAAAACGCAAAACATAGGTAGCAACTGTTCCTTCGCCAAGCGCTCGACACTAGGAAGTGAAAGTCATTCTTTCGGGTGAGTCCTTAAAAAACAAAGGTCACGGTAGGCGTTGGCACGATAACGAACCCTCAATGCTCAATGGCCCTGAGTGCCGAGTATAGGTCTAAACTTGAAGCTGTTCACCGGTTCTATGAGTGAGAAATTCTCGAAGGGGACGTAAAACAACACAGTCAATCAATCAATCAATCTTTCTTCAACAACAATTAATTACCGTCTTCCTTGAAAGACGGAAGAAGAGTTGAAGTATTTTATAGTGTGCGGACTATGCACTTCCTCTCTTTTCTGATTGGTAGAAATTGCATGATGAGAAAATTTTCAATAAATGCTATTCAGAGCAAGGGAGATAATTTTCTGATGATCTAATTTTCGTACGACTTAATTTTCAAGATTTTCAATCGTAAATGAAATATGACAAAATGAACAGTGGAAACTGGCAGTAATTCATTCGAAATAACATGTTATTTTTTTTTAAAGCAATTACCAAAAAACGTTTCTATATTTTCATTGTTAACAGAATTGATCTTTATTGCATGCAAGCTTTACAGCTTGTATGAATTCTTTTTCCCTTTGTTTTGCACTGTCTTTCTAATCTCGGCAGCTCTCGGCCGATTCGCATCACAAAGGTGACGGAATCTTCCGAGGTTTTTGACGAATGATCTCGGCAGCAAAGTCGAAGTTTACGGAGACAGCCGAGCATCTTTTAACCTTTCACTTGGTAGGGCTTATGTCGGAAAAAAAA